GAATGTAGTATGATGTGTCTGACTGGTAGACCAATGTTACATAAAGTGACCAGTGCAGATGAATGTGTGCATGTGTGTTTGTTTTCATGTGTGTCAGAGTCCAAATGTGCGTGTGGAGGGACAGGGGAGTGGTGGCAGAGTTGGGAGAGGGTTCAGCTTCCTGACAGCCTGATGGATGAAGCTGTCTTTCAGCTAGACAGCTAATCTTGCTTCTGTAGTTTTTCTCATCGTTTTTGTTGATGAGACCCACCACAGTTTCAGTCAGAGTCTGTTTTGTCCAGATGTGTGAGCGCTGAGTGAAGTGCAGTGGAGATGGCGTCATCAGTCGAGTGGTAGGACCAATATGTAAACTGAAAAGGGTCCAAGGAGGGGGGCAGGACAGACTTAATGTGCTGCATCACAAACTGTAAGCTCCTCTCGGTGTGGTGTAAACAAAGCCCAGGTACAGGTCTTTCAGTGCCTCTCTCATGTTGTTGGGATTGGAGCTGGGAGGGATGTAAACGGAGAAAAGCAGTATGGCTGTTTATTCCCTCTGTAGATAAAACGGCCGGCACTTTAAAACCATAAACTTCACCAGTGGCAAGCAGTTTTTGCAGACTACAATGGTATCATGGCCAGAACCGAAATGTCTAGAACGTAGTCACTGAGCCAAGTTTCCGTAAACACAAATGCACAACAGTTCTTTACAGTCTTTTAAGATGAACGAAGTAGACGGCTATAGTCCAGTTTGTTGTCTAGCGAACGTACTCTCGCTGGAGGAGGGGATGATGGAGGGGATAGCAGGTTTGTGTGGGTTAGCCGCTAGCCTAGTTCAGATCCCCCCACGCTTGCCCCTCTTCTGTTTTCTCTTGCCTCTATTGTGGGCGAGGTGTTGAGGTGGGGGTCGGAGGATGAGTAGGCCTCTGGAGCAAACGGAGATCTTGCAGCTCCTCAGTGTCTGCGGAGTTTAACTTGTAAAGTTTGGTTCTGCCGATGTCGAGCAAAAATTTTAGACTATATGTGCGCTTAAGCACAGATAAACGGGGCGAGGACGTACATGACAAAGAACACAAAAACAATGTCTTGTCGGAAAGAGAGAAGCCACAGCGTGTGCACGTACCTCCATCTTGAAAAAAGCAAGAAAGGAACTGGAAGAGTGGTTAACGCCAGAGTGGAAGCAGCAAAAGAGCGAGTGACTGGTCTGGAGCCTGTGTTGGGTGGATACTCCAGCTCTTTTACTACCATGGAAAAAGAGTTTAGTATCGTGAAAAAAGAGGCTGGCTCTGCTGAGACCAAAGCCAAGATCTTGATAAAAGGTCTACCCGCTTAAATCAATCTCCATGCAACAAACCAGTGGACAACAAGGAACCGTCACGCGCCTTCGTGATTAAATCCCACAACTTTTCCGAAAAAGAGAATATTTTGAAGAAAGCCATTGAAATGAATGCAATCACGACAGTACACTGGGCTGTCAAAAACAATACAAATGTTAATGTCACTCTCCGGTTAACTTTTAAATAACCACTATAGCACATGTTCGTTGTTATTTCTAGCTCTCGGAAGTATGTTTTGTCAATAATGGTGTAGCTTCGTAGTAAAACATTAAAAGCTGTTTAAATGGTTTTGTTTTATGCGTGAGATCCCACATGGTCAGCTAGTTAAGAGTGGGAGTAGCTAGAAGTGTGTGCAAGTTTACGTGCAAGGTTTCAATATTGTGTTGTTTCGTGTTTATAAGTGTTTGTGCGATCACTCTTTTTTTTACTCTCTCTTTTTTTCCTCTCTCAAAGTGTTGGCAATCAGAGTGGTTTCGTGTTTATAAGTGTTTGTGCGATCACTCTTTTTTTTACTCTCTCTTTTTTTCCTCTCTCAAAGTGTTGGCAATCAGAGTGGAGTCAGTCATTAGAAAGATAATTCACCCAGATCAAACTGGTTTTATTGTTGGGAGACAGTTATCTTACAACCTTCATCGCTTATTTAAATATTATTTATTCACCAAAAAATAATACCAATCCAGAGGTCCTAATTTCCTTAGATGCCCATAAGGCATTTGATAGAATAGAGTAGATCTATTTTTTTTACAGCGCTTAAAAAAAAAAATTGGTTTTGATCCTGGATTCTGTTCCTTGGTTAAAATTTTATATTCCAGGCCCCAAGCATCCATTCAAACAAATAATATAATTTCTAAAGGCTTTCCACTCTCTAGAAGAACGAGACAGGGCTGCCCTCTGTTTTTTGACATTGGCATCGAACCTCTTGCAACCGTATTAAGCAAGGAATTGCAAGGAATTTTCAGAGAGCGACACGAACATAAGTTCCTGCTATATGCGGATGATCTTCTTTTTCTGTCAAATCCAGATACATGTATTCTAAAAGCTTTTACAATAATTTCAGAATTTGGAAATGTTTCTGGATACAAAGTCAATCTAGCAAAGAGTCTCCTTTTCCCTATCAATGATAGAGCACAGTAAATTTCCTTCCAATCCTTTCCATTTTCAGTAAGTCCTGATAAATTTGTATAGTTAGTGTGACACGCAAATACAAGGATTTGTTCAATAATAATTTTAAAAGGACATTAGTGCCCAAGGACATTTTTAGTACTCAAGGACACCTTACAAACAGTAGGAGAACAAGAAAAGCAACAACCTTAAGAAAGTAGAGAAAATTGGAGACTAATAATACATAAAATCATGACAAAAGACCTGAGAACAAGCAACAAGAAAGAAACTCATTCCTGTCTTTCAATGAGTGCTTATGTGCATTTAGAAAAACTAGACAGCACACTCAGGGCTGCAAGATGGATTTAATTTAGTATTCTTATAATTAAAATATATCTGAATGAGGATCAAATGACTGAGTTGGTCTTTGAAAATGAAAATTAACCTGTTTGTTCCTGCAGATCTTCCTGTTTGACTGTGAATGTTTCTTCAATCTTCACATCTTCACTCTCCTCTTTAATAAACGCCATCTTTATAACAGTGTGGAGATCAGTCGCTTTTTCTCTGTGTTTGGACACTTTATCCTGTTTAAAATGAACAAAACAATGAACAGAAACAAAATAACTTCTCTTCAACACTTGCTTCAACAGTTTCTTTATATGAGAGTCATTAACAAACAGAAATCAGATAAGTTGGATCAAGAAACAATAGCCACTGATCAGCTGATTACAACTAGTACTCGATTTCTTATATATAGTGATGTATACTTCAAATAGAATGACATTATGCTATTTAATCAATTAATCTTTCATTAAAACACTTATTACACACTTTTACTTTATTCAAGTATCTTCTTAATTGTTTTGTTTGTTTTATTTATCTTATTTTCTGTTTATAGCACTTTTTTGCACAAGATAAATTTCCTCTCGGGAACAAAAAGTTTATCCTATCTTTATTAAAAAATAGACCTCATTACTGTGAGTTTTAGTAAATAATACTACGTTGTATAAGGGTTAAAATAATATTGTCAACAGGTACATAAGTTATCACTGAATGAAAACACTGAAACTTTAATCAATAGCTTTATATAAGGCTAAACGCTTTAAAACAAACCTTTTTCCAGTTGAATCACAGCGCGGGAGCGGCGCAGGCTTATGACGTCACAAGTCACGCCAAAATAAAGGTCTTTTTTTTTTTTTTACTTTTTTTGCCACTTACTCTTAGTCATGAGTCATGACTTATTATATATAGTTTTTCTCTGCGTTTGGGCATTTTATCCTGTTAAAAATCAACAAAGCAATAAAAATGTTCTGTTTAAAATAAATTAAACTATGAATAGAAACAAAATAACTTCTCTTCAACAGTTTCTTTATATGAGAGTAATTAACAAAAATAAATCTGGTAAGTCCAAGCAAGAAACAACAGCCACAAATGAGCTAATTAAAACTAGTACTCCATTTCTTAAATATGGTGATGTAAACTTAGAATGAAGTGAAATTTTGCTATTTAATAAATTAAACCTTCATTAAGACACTTAATACACGCACGTTGTTCAATAGTCCTCTTTACTTTGAGTAAAATAGTATTAAGTTGTATAAAAGTTTAAAATAATATTTTCAACAGCAGGTACATCATTTAGTATTGAATGAAAAACCTGAAACTTTAATCAATCGCTTTATATCTGTGTAAAAGCTTTTAAACAAACCTTTCTCCAGTTGATTCACTTTTTTTCAATTAATGCTTGAACTGACAATACAAGAACATCATAACAAAGTCACACAGATCTTTAAAAAGAGCAATAATTTACATAGTCATAAGAAAAAATATCTAAAACCACATACAAATACAAATAATACCATTAGAAAGAAAGGGAAAATATTAATACAATTAAAGTATTATTATTAATAATATAAATAATAAAATTACTAAATTAAACAAATAAATGAAATTAGAATGACACATTAACAAATAACTGTAAGGAAAGCAACTAAAATCGAGAATCTTCTTTAAATACATCTGCATAATATTTCAGGAATCTTAGATTTTTTTAATTCTTAATAAGATAAAGTGATTTTGGGAGGGAAATAAATTCTATTCTAAAATGAACAAAGGATGGGTAATTATTTGTGAATTTTTGTTTGTGAATGTAAAATTTGCCATATAAGATTAAAAAAAATGTATGATGTCCCAGATAGCAGGCAGTAATCGGCCCGAGCTCGGCTGCCCTCCGGCGCATCCGGCTCCGACTCGGCATCGGCGAGTGTTATCCGGGCCGAGTGCGGCCCGCAGCTCGCTCGCGCACATGCGGTTGTGATGCGGCTGTAAAGCACTGGCCCGATTCCGGTCAACCATATGGCAACCGATTAAGGCTGATGGCAACCGATTAAGTTCTTATTTTATCTAGTAATCTGTTAGCTCCACGTTTAATGATAATTTGAGAAAATATTCATGGTACGATAGCAAAAAATAAATAAATAAATAAATAAATATTTTGTGTGGATGGTCGCAATGTTTAGACGCAAACAAAACAATATTATTTATAAATAGATTATACATGTCATCTAGAGAAAAACTATGTAAAATTCGCTTATTTTTGAGATAGCACGCTCCTGTGCTGACTGTTTTTTTTTAAAGCAGAAGTTGGTTTCATAATAAACACATGCGTGACTAAACTCATGATCCACACTCCAATCCAGGCGGTGGCGGTAATGCTCCAAAAAGCTGGTTGTCAACCACCATGGCACGAAGATCACAAGAATAAAAAGTTTGGTTTTTTTTAAAGACTTCACATGGATTCCGGTCAGAAAGGTAAGCTTTTTACTGCTTGTGTTCTGTATAATTAGCGAATTTAGAGCTTAAAACATTTCCACGGTGTTTGGTTGTAACAGCGTTTAGTAATTTAAAACAGTTTGATACGAAATGTAACTTGCTTTAAGAAACACGACTGGAGCTAATGTATGCTAACGCTAACAGTTACAAACAGCCTGAAAGTTCCTTTTCCTTTTACACAATGTTAGATTGTAACGTATGTAGTAACTGAAAACTATTTTAATCATTTTAAAGAAACATGAAACGAATTTGTGTGTATGCTAACTTTGCGTTAAAGAAAGTTTATGTAGACGAATCCATTAACTAATGGCGAAACGTGTTTTTTTCCTGATTTAACATTATAAAGTACCGTGGATGTTGAAAAAATCATTGTACAGGCGTTTACTTATCCAACAGTATTAATTCTGTGATTGTGTAAATAAAAACTAATCGTTTTGGATTAATAAAATATTATTGTTTATCTTGTTTATGCAGTTAGTCACGAAAAATGATCGAAACTCGACTGTTTACTATTCTCTTTTAATTATCCAAGAGAAACATATTACTATGCACTTTAATTCATATGTGTTAGCCTATGTGAATCAATTATATCTTTTGTTCAAGCTGTAATGGTCAGTTAATGTAAAACTGAACGTCTTAAAGCAGATTTTGATGTTTTTTTGTTTGTTTTTTATGTTATTGACAGTGATAAATTCTGATTTAAATGAATGGGTAACAATATTTGTTGGTTAAGTCTCATTGTTCTTGTTTAACAAAGGTTAGTGAGATCATTTTGCAGCACATCACGACCAAAGAAGTCAATGGCACACTCTTTTGAACGTGAATAGGCATGCTATAGTTGTGTGCTAAAAGTCCATTATAAGCTGTAAACTGCTGATACATTTTCAACATAGATTGAGCTTTTCAGACATTACATTACTAATTGCTTCACAAACAGCTGAAATGGTTTATTGTTATTGGCTATCATCATCAAACATTTTTCACAATGGTAGGTTAATCTTCATGGGTACAGAATAATGCATGTGCTTGACCATCTTACAAATCTATGTCTCAGATTCATAAGGCTGTCACTCTGCATGAATCTCCGAATAAATCTTGTGCAACCTTCTGTGTACTGATTATTTACACTATAGGTATTATATGCATTAATTAACTTTGATAGTATTTCAGGATTTGAACTTTTCTTTACAGGAGGTTAACAACAATGTGATGTTTTATTATAGATGCATATGAGGAAGCTCGACTAAAACATCCACATGCAACTGTGATTTCTGACTGGTAGACGGATGAGGACGATGATTGCCTGTCATACATCTCAAGACAGAACAGGTTTGTTTGCAATTATTTTAAACACATACTGTCAACATTATGTCATTGATCTATTACAACCTGTGAGTTTTGCCCTGGCACTATACTAAAGTGATGTTTTGTTTTGTAAATGTATCTGATCAAGGGACAGTATAGACGCATCTATACCGTGATGAAGAAAAATTACTTGGAACAAAGAGGCTGGATAAAAGGCAGGTATGAAGATTTCAGAAATCAATGCAGCACCACAAGTACCATCACCATCAATGACTATGGCAGAAATCTTAAGACCACCATGAAGATGCACAGATACTGTACATTCCAGTACACCAGGCGTGTCCAAACTACGGCCCGCGGCGAGGCTTTTTATAAATATCAATAGAATCTGGCCCGCTATACAAAAATGAACGTAATTCAATAAATAACCACCGGGTGTCGCTATTACATGCATTCAATTAAGCAGCAGTTCTTGTTATGATCTATCTATCTATCTATATCTGTCTATCTGTCTGTCTGTCTGTCTGTCTGTCTACACAGAGTTGAAGTCTGAATTATTAGCCCCTCATTGATTTATTTCTTCTTTTTTAAATATTTCCCAAATGATGTTGGAGAAAGACTTATGTTTTATTTCGGCTAGAATAAAAAGCGGTTTAAATTTTTTTATGAACCATTTTAAGGTAAAAATTATTAGCCCCTTAAGTCTTCAGAACAAACCATTGTTATAAAATAACTTGCCTAATTACCTTGACTAGTTAACTTGATTAACCTAGTTAAGCCTTTAAATGTCACTTTAAGCTGTATAGAAGTGTCTTAAAAATATCTAGTCAAATATTATTTACTGTCATCATGGCAAAGATAAAATAAATCAGTTATTAGAAATGAGTTACTAAAACTAATATGTTTAGAAATGTGTGGAAAAAATGTTTAACTCTCCGTTAAACAGAAATTGGGGAAAAAATAAACGGTGGCTAATAATTTAGGGGGGGCTAACAATTCTGACTTCAACTGTATTTATATATATATATATATATATATATATATATATATATATATATATATATATACACGTGTCTGTGTGATGTATGTAAAATTTGGCCCGCGACAACGTTTGTTTTTTTGCATCTGGCCCTCGGCCCAAAAAGTTTGGACACTTCTGCAGTACACCTATGAACATTTACAGTCTTTGTTCTAGTGCAGTTTGAGATCAAGACAGAACTTATTGCATCTCGTGATGTCTTTGTAAGAATTGAAGACATCACTAAATTTGTTAAGGTTTAATGCAGCTAGAAAGTAAAGATCAACTAGAGAATATCAGCAGTGTCTAACCCACTGTTGTATTTACAGAAGTTGTATGAGAATAAGCTACAGGTTGATTTATACTAATCTGTTATTTTTCATTTTTAGCACGACTGACTGAAGTTTTAAAATCATGCAACGTCATAAAGCAGCAGCTGGGCCTGATTCTCACAAAACCAAAACAGACGTGATGAAATTCCAGATGTAAACACATTTGACCTTCCTTTGGCCAATTTGATTTGGAAAAACTTGAAAATCAACTAAAGGAGCAGCCCGAACAAATGAAGAAACTGGTAAGTTCAAGCTCTTGCTAATTTCAAAGTGTTTTAAGTTTATTTGTTTTTTTTAATTGTTTTTTTTTTTTTTGCTTCGTAGGTAGCCTACTTTTTTCCTAATTTTTTCTTTTTTTTTACATTAGTACTTGTTCACTACTAATTATCTGTTTATCTTTTAATCACAGATGGAGTGAGGACAAATGTCCATACCACGCCACTGATAAAGAAGTGGAAAAATGCATTACAAGGTAGCTACAACTTGCCCCTGACAGGGATGGAGGAAGAAAGAAGAGAAAGCTAATGTGTCAAATGTCTACATCACTATTTTGTTTTATTTTTTAAACAACATTTTAAGTGTATTAGGATGTTCCCTGATACTTGAACAATTTGTTTCTTTCATTTGCATTTATATATATGTATATATATGTGTATTTTGCTATCTGGGGTGTTCCAGATATTTAGCTTTTGGGTTATTATAATAAAAATTGTCTTTTAGATTAAAGCAATTCACAGCATTGGCAGAAGCAGATATGAGAATTTAGAAGTGACCGAAATTGCTTGGATATTGGACAATCAAAAAACATATGTAGTAGTGCAGGGGTGGCCAACCCTGTTCCTGGAGAGCCACCTTCCTGCAGATTTCAGTTGCTACCAATATCAAACACACCTGAACCAATTAATTAGGACCTGAACACCACGTGATAATTACAGGCAGGTGTTTGTTTTGGGTTGCAACTGAAATCTGCTGGAAGGTGGCTCTCCAGGAACAGGGTTGGCCACCCCTGCACTACTACATATGTTTTTTGATTGTCCAATATCCAAGCAATTTCAGTCACTTCTAAATTCTCATATATCTGCTTCAAACACCTGCCTGTAATTATCACGTGGTGTTCAGGTCCTAATTAATTGGTTCAGGTGTGTTTGATATTGGTAGCAACTGAAATCTGCAGGAAGGTGGCTCTCCAGGAACAGGGTTGGCCATCACTATAGTAGTGTCTCCTCTGCTTGTTTGCAGAAAGAACAGAAGCTCTCGATGTCCAAAAAATTGTAAATACTAGAATTTACAGGGTAGATTTTATGTAAAAATTTTAAAATGTATTTCTTTTGTCTCGTTGGAAATGCAATATTACCCAGGTAAAAGCCAGGTTCTATTCCAGTCTATATCCTTAACCAAAGACCTCCAGTAAAACTTTCCCTTAGAAAAAATTTTCCTTTTAAATTGGAAAATTTGACGCACAAAGCTTTGCAACAACAACTTTCTTTCTTTTTTCTTTTTTATATTTTTTATTTGCTCCACACTGTCTCAACTTTTTTTGTTGATTTGGGGTCGTATTATTAGTACATAGTAAATTTAAGTGGTGGATTTTATTTTATGGTTGGTGAGAAGAGGGTATCTGCAAGTATTGTGTACATAAAAAATATTTTTTTTACTGTTTTGCTATTCACCTTATTCTACGCGGATGAGCTGGTACAGCCATTTTAATCATTTTTGCTCGAGACCTCCGGTCTCATTCACTTTCATTCATTATATGTTGAAAACAGCTTGTTTTGCTGCTTGATGTTGCAAACTGATAATATTATTCTACTTTATCTGTTTAGTCATGCAAACACTTGTTTGTAGAGCAAGTAGTTTGACCGTTTTCAGACATTTATTACTCCTAGTCATTTCTCACATAGGCAACTGAATCTGATATTCTAAAACGATCACAAAAACAAGTGCACTTCTGCATTGAAGAATAAGTTCAACAGAATAGTTGTATTCAAATGTGTGCAACCAATGTTATTCCACTAAATTAATAAAAATCAATAAATCACATTAATAAAATGTATAAATGAAAAGACAGGTTTATTTACCAGTTGTGCCCTCAGAATGCAAGATTTCGTTTCCCTGGGTGTTAGTAAGGATATAGGACTCTTCATTGCCCATTGCCAAATTGACTTTTTCTAGAATGTTGGCCACATTTGCCTCACACTCAACAAAGCGTATCACCACTACCCGACTTGAAACCAGGCGTCCATCTTTAATTTCAGAGATGTGTATGGATCTAAAAAAAAGTAATGTTTGTATTAAAAGTTAACCTTATTTTCAAAACAACCTATTAATAAATGAAAAAATAAAAATAAAAAATAAATATATATATATATATATGAATATGCTTATTTTTTTAATTAGTGTATCTCCACAGACACTTTAAATGAGTACTATTTTAAGGGGTTACCTTTGAAATGATCTTTGACTCTGACTTTGACTACCAGCTCTAGGTGGTGGTGCAAAGCGTGTTGCTGGTGAACTTGAAGTTGTTTGACTAAATAAAAAACTGCGCTGACTCGTAGCAGTTTCAGGTTCGCAGCCATGAACTTCATGGTGACTCCTCTCCACTAAGTCCAAGCTTGGGAAAACAGCAACATTTGTAGAGTCTGTAAGGTACAGACTGTCTGTGTTTACCTAAAACACAAAATAAACACTTATGACTCCTCCCCATGCAAAATAATTTTCTCCAACATTTATGGCAGAATAGGGTATATTCGGAAGTATGCAGAAGGACTTTTTTTTATTTTTAGTAACCTGGGTCAAATGAGATTTCAATGGAGTTTAAACACTGGCCTGCTAATCCTGACAGGTGTGTACTTGTAAACGGCTTTTCATCTCATTTTACACTTGAACCAGTAAATGAATGCTGAAGTCTATTTAACTGATTATCTTTTATCTTTTAATTACATTAACTGTAACATTTCACTGGAAGTTTATCTTGATGGAAAGAAACACTAGCTGTGCATACCCTATTCTTGAAAAGAACATTTTCTTAACCCTCAAACGTATTTCATATTGCAGCCCATAATTTAACTAGCATTGACACCACAGTCTCAGGTGTAATCCCATTTCAAAATATATATTTTTCCTAATTTCACATTTTTTATATAAATTATGATGAAATAAACACTTATTTGTGCATATTTTTTCAGAATTAAAAAAAAGACGTATTCCTCTTATTCAGGAATGAGCTATAGTGATGATTTTCATACTACATATTCTCAGTTATACTGTCTTTTAATGTGAAAGAAATAAACCATATGTGACCATTCCATCAGTTTAAAACTTCAGTTTTAAGGTAAGTATTTTTTAAATATTTTTGTCATATTAACAATGTACAACTTTAATTTAATTAAAGTTTCAATGTAATGCAATTTTAAGAATGAATTATTTGATTAATTCTTTAGAAAGTTCAAAGAAGTAGTTTAGTAAAGGTTCAGTCTATATTTTCAGTAAAAATATTTTTGTTCAGATTTTTTGTAGACCTATTAATGAACCAAAGCATGATTGTTGCTTATTCTTTTAATAGTCCCTATTCATATTGCCAATTTAACAAATGTAACACTTTAAAACAATTTACATTTAGTTCAGTCACATGTTTCCCTGTGATGGGTTGCAGCTGGAAGGGCTTTCGCTGTGTGGAACATATGCTGGATATATTGGCTGTTCCTTCCGCTGTGGCGACCCCGAATTAATAAAGGGACTAAGAAAACGAATGAAGTTCACACATCCAAAACCAACATGGCAAGTCTATATAAATATATGGCTACCTGTATTGTCTCGGTAGCAGTGGCGGTTCTAGTTTAAATGGCACCCTGGGTG